TTTAGATTTACCAATATAAACTTCTTTTCTTTTTTGAGACAATATTGATCATCTTACAAATTTTGTCTTATTTTAGCAATTTTCTCCCTGTAATAAAGGTTTTATATGTTTGTTGATCGTTACAGACAAATTTATTTAAAAATGTAATTCAATAAATACAACGTTGATTAATATTATAGACAGGTCTAAGTTAAGCTTTATTTCATAAAGTTGTGGTAACCATTATCCGACAAACAGCATTTAATTATATGTACATAACATAAAGAAGACACAAATAGTGTAGACTTCGAATATTCCTACTTCAGAATGTAGCAGGAAGTTTACATTAAAATTAGGTCATATTTATCCAAAATTAAATTGTCGTTATTGGTTTTAAAATAAAGTATTGAAAGGTCTGATATTAATGTCAGTTTGCTAAAAATAGAGCAACTTCAGTTAATATTGATAATGTATTATTGACTGTTATGTTTTATGATTTCAATATTACATTAGTTTTCCATATACAGAAATTACCAAAATAAATTGAATTTAGCTCTGTGTTTATATAGCATTGCAATGTCGTATTCAGTGATTTCAATACAATTGAATTTCACACTAAACTTAAATTCTTTAGTTTAACATACAAAATGATGTAGATATTAAACTCTTAAACAAATAGTTCAAGTATACATACATACAAAAAATAGTGACATTCAGAAATACTTGCTGTCATTGTGAAAAGTGGAAGATCAATTTACACTAAACTTTATCATTATAAACTTTAAAACGTTTACTTAGTTTATAAAATATCTGACAAAATTAAAAAAATGGAACCCTAACCGGATAGAATTCAGTACTGTTACACAAACATTTTTCCGTAAGTTACAACATAACAAGCAGCGTATTTCTTAAACACAAATGAGTAACTTAAGAAATATTGTTACGACTACCATTTTCTAACAAGAACAGCAGAAAAAATTTTGTTTAAAATTTATTAAGTACACCAGAATTTATACTTTTGACCCTACCCGGAGCCCACCCTTTCTCATTACCAGTTAATTCCCCTCAGAGAAATACAATGGCTTAGTCGTGTTGTTAGTACTCTCAAATTAATTAGAATTTATATTTATTACTGATTAAAGACCGCGAAGCCGAACTAAATTTGCAAAAAGTAGCCAGAAGAAATCGTTACTGTGTTTTTAACCCTAGCCCTAATACCCACTGAATTCCCCTACTACCATCATTGGTTAAAATGTTATCGGTCCATGTATTTCAAAGTTTCTGTTTGTACTACATTACAATATATTCAGTCTTGAGTGATAGGGGTGGAAATGGGCGTCTTCCACTCTAATGGCTGCTGAAATATTAATATCACTCTCGGCTGGTTTTGTACTCTTCGAGCAATGCAAATTACTTCGACACCAAATAAAAAAAGTAAAAACTCATTGCAATTAAGGTGCCCCTACAGAGTTTGCGATAAAATATTTGTATGGGTGGTCACGCTAGCAGCGTCGTTATTTAAACAAATTAAATTTACAGGGTGTGATTACTTAGAACGAATATTAAACGAAACCCAGTTACGCGTTACAATTATCTTAACAACGTGCTTTCTCTTCGGCCATTTTTCTGACATTCGGATAAGGAAAGAACACGAATTTCTGTAAGAAAGTGAGAAATTACAATTCGCAACAACGTAATTATAGGTCGGCTGGACGAGTGTAATTTCACTTTACCTTATTAAAATAGTGCATGTTCGATTGTTGGGGTAACAAAGCTACCTTATCCTGACAAATGTCCATGTTCAACTAAAGGATGTTACTGTAAAGTATCGATGACGCATTAAGGACACACCAAAACGGGTTACCGGTCGGGCAAGTTAAATCTTAATGGCGATGTGAATGACAATGCCAAAAAACGATTCCCATTTACATTTGATGGACGAATCCAGTTGCTAATGTAATCTTTTTGTCGTTGCCCAACTCTCCGTTATTCATAACATCGAGCTACAGCATTTAAAATTACATGAACTGGGATGAAAGTTCAGATTTATAGTTGGTCTTTTTGTCGAAAAATACTAAACAAATTGGAACACTATGTAGAACATTAACGCTCACAAATAGCATTTTCAATGGCGAGTTTAACTACGTTCTGCATTGTTCTGTGGTCGATTTAAAGTCACAGTTCCAACTACTCTTGTTATATATCTATACTGTATCTAGACTATGTCAAAGAAAAAAATTTGGTTGATTCAGTTCGTCACAGTCTTGTTAGTAGGAAATGTTTGTTTAGTGTAATCATTTTTCTTTAAATCACACGAAAGTGGAAGGTTGCATTTTCGTACATTATCACTAAGCATACTGAATCATTTGGATGATTATAATACTTACACAATTTTACCCGTAAATATTTGGTTGATGCCTCACCTTAGAAACCCAGACCCTCAGCAGCTTATCATGTTTGATCAAATGTTTTATTTGCGTTATATACAGTTTTTAGGCACACATATTTGGTAAAAATAAAAATGATTTGATTATGAGCTCTGGAATGCACGAACCATATGCCACATTTTTATAGTGCTGTTTTTTACGTGAAGTAATAACATGTGGTGTATTTAAAATTTCGCACATATTATAACACAAACATCATAGCGAAGGCAGTTTATTGTAGCACCAATGATTTCTAATTCATGTGATATTTTATCAATGCAGAAATTTTTGCGCCTGAAATAGCTTGACCTTCCTTGTTTAGAGCCAATCTAGAGTTAATCAAACAAATAATATCAATAGACGTAATAAAGTACACTAAAAACGTTGCAGTGCTTTATCACTTATTACGTCCCTTATTCTTTCAGTTCGGTGTCGCCCTTTCGTGCAGCTACCTAGTTATAACGATACCTGATGAAGGTCATATAAATTACCGAAACGTTTCGTCTACCTGTTCCATAAAAAGGGTTAATTGTAGCAGTTAATTATCGGCTAATTATTTATTGATCTTCTGAGTCATGTTATGTTCATAGTTGGTATTTATGGTTCAGTGAAATTTTTGTTGTAGTAGATATTCTTCATATTTCCAGCATGAGTAAACTGTCACAGTAATAGTAAGTGTTAATTTAATGTCAAGATCAGTAAGTGTATCTTAAGATCTCACTTTATCTGAAGCAACAAACAACTAGTTAAAAGGAATTCCTGAAAGTATGTTTCATGCGGTCTTTCCGAATTATTTTATCTAATGTTTACAAAATGTTTCCTACGTAAAGCTTAGATAATTTGGAGATATTAAAAGTTTTCAATTGAATGAATAAAAATACTTATGTGAAAATTTGTATCAACTACGTTGGTCTATCGTTACGCATAGATATCTTGTTACGAAAGCGTTAATAATAAATATGTATTATTCTTAGAGGATTTGGATCCTACATAATGCAATTGAGAAGTGGTGAAATTATGATACCAAAATTATTCGCCTCAGAAAGTTTAGTTGTACGTTTCATGTTATTTTGAATAAGAATTGTATAACAAAATTTATTATAAAACTATTATGGAGTACATTATTAAATAAGTATAAATAAAATTTCCACAAAGGGCATGCCATGGAAATTCTTGGATGTTTAATTAGGGGTGTTATCATGATTATAATTATATATCTTTAAAATGTATAAGAAACCAGAGTTAGAATACGAAAGTAGTTAGAGCTAAAAACAAATATAATCCTTGCTAAAAAAATGTTTTAATGATCGGTTTTGGTAATTAAATAACCATCTTTAAGTCTTTACAAATTAACTAGAATTGTCAAAATTAAAAATACATTTAAATTAATACATTCATATCGAAAAAATCTATTTCATTTTAAATGTAGTTTTAATTTTGAGGATTCTTGTTAGGTAATTTATAAAGGGCCGGAGATGACTTAACATATGACTATTCATCAATTCATTTGTTCCAAACTACAAGAAACTTTCTTAGAATACACCATTTTTTCAAAAAAATAGACACACTGTACAAATGAATATTCAAATTTAAATTAGATAAATTAAAATTATTATTGAAACATATATTTGAAAATTATTATGCAAGTGTTTAATACCACACATTGCAGAAACTCATTAATATATAGTTCGTTTACAAAAAAATAATTTCCGTAAATACTTATGTAATTTTGAGTAAAGATAACCTCTCAACACATAACTTTGTCTGTCATATTTTGTAGAGATAGTAATAAAAAACACGACCAAAGCAGATTACCGTCAAGAAAATGCATCGATCAAAGACAAACTTCCAAATATCCATGGCCATCTTTGATCGTATTTTTTACTGCTCTCTAGGTATAAATTTACTTTTAATCTACATACTAGAAATTAACTTTAAAAAACAAGGAACACATCGTCAGAATAATTTTATTATATTCGACTCATTAAAATCAGCGATGTAGGTTTATTTCTTCATTAAAAAGTACTAATTCCTTGTTAAGTGAAATTACATGATTTCTTCTCATTATTTTTTGATACGTTTTTAAGTCCATTCCAAAACCCTGAGCAGTTTAACGCTATCGGTTGAAATGTATATTTGGAAAGTAAATGGATGATGCTTACAAACTCTAATACAATTATGCTAAACATCTTGTTTGTAAGAACCAACGCATATTTTAGTGTCCTTGTGATGTGCATATTTGCTAATTTATCTAAATTAAAAAAGTTGTTAGACAGATTAGGAGCATTCCAACTTTTAGAATGCAACTACATGCAACAAACCTCTTTAGAACATATGCTATTACTTAGTCGTAGTGCTCATTTAAACACACATTTAAACACAAAAAGGTGCTAGTGATTATTGTAGTGCTTCAACATCTAATAAAAATTCTTCGCCAAAATTTCTTTCCAAATCAAATAAAGTAGGTACGACTAATATGGCAAATCACTTCCACGAACTTGCCATAATTCGTTAAACACAATTTCGTACAACGGAAATTCGTCATATAGAAGTCCCCTTTTTTTCCTAAGCTAATAAATATTTTCTCGAACCTACCTGCGTATATTCCGGTCTGGGAGAGTACCTCCTGTCCCTGTCGAAACCCTCTTCATGTCGAAGCAAGACCCTTTCCACTCTTGCCAAAATTGGGGAATCCAGGACCCCGGACGGCCGCCCTGGGGGTCCACTGTCGGATTCAGTTTGCACCAACATCGCACAAAATTAAAAAAGTAAACGTGTATTTAGATTGTGATGTGCGCGCGTGACGAGGTTGGAGGAGACGTGAACTCCGCAGCGAACAGTTAACGACTAAGCTGTGGCGAACACTCGAGCGTTGAGGAGTTGTGGTTCCGAGTGATATGCGCTCCTGATGCACTTCTCCCGGAATTGGCGATCTGACGTCCGGAAAAGTCCGGGACACTAAGAATTTATGGGAGTATGAGTGCGGTTGTGAGATATTACGGTTTTGGAGTAAATATTGGTGGAGTGTTTTGCAGAATCTTTGTATGATTGAGTTGTTAGAACAGGCCTTTATGCATACGACACGATCGCTATTAATTGGTTAATTTGAATGTAAATGCGTTTTTTACGTGGTCGTATTTATAAGATTTCTAGTTTCTAAGAACTGTTTTTCAATGTCGATGAGATTATAGTTTTTTTTTGCTCGACAAAAAAAGTTTGTTGATTGTGTTTTAGTGCAGTTTTTAAACTGATAAGTTATCGACAAAAATTGTGGCGCCAAGTTATTTTTAGTTTTATTCATTAATATACATATAATAATTTTCGAAGTTTAAGATGGAGGTTTTTTATTTAACATGCTGTAAGGATATTACCGCAGTAGTAACAAGATTTGAAGAAATTAGGACGTTTGTAGTCACCAGGAATTTTTTCATGCGTTATTATCTTTGAAGTTAACCTAGACTAAATTATTTAGATAAAATTAGTTTCTTAAATAAATTAAAAAATTTGATTTTGCGGATTTTATTTTTGTATGATAACCCCTATGAGTTAAAATAAAATATATGTATAGACTGTTCAACTACAGAAGCATGTCATACGTACTTTCAAGTGAGTTTTTAATAATAAAATTTTGTGATGTCATCAATTTTTTAGCAAGAACACATACATCATTTTGGAAAAAAACAGTATAATAACGAAGGAGGAAAAATAAACACACGATCATACAATTAATACTACAAATATTTTGTACTTCCAAAAGTTTGGAAAAATAACGTTAGTCATTCTTGATATGATCAATTAAATGAATTACAAGTATGCTTAAAATGTTTTGTACATTTTAGATAGGATTTTTGGTTAAAACCTTTGCAAAATTTTAGTTTTGCAGTTTCTAAATTAAATTGTAAAATGTTGTGCTTTTGATTTTTTTTCCAAAAAATGTTTAAGATAAAAAATCAAGGCGACTTCATAAACCACAGGTACAGAAGTGTTATTTTATAAAATTAAATAGCATTTACTATGCAAATTTTTTAGATGAGGTTATCAAATTGTTGGTGGGAATGGGGAGACAAATTTTGATTAGCGTTTTATCATTCACGCGATATTTCTAAAATATATATATAAAATTTTACAACAGTCAATCTAGTACTTCTGGAATTTCGAAGACGATCTGTCTAATAAAATCGCCAATAGAATACAGACCACAGACAGACGACAGAGATATATATATATATATATATATATACGGAAACGGGAGATCAATTTTTTCATACTCAAGAAGTCATGGTTGGGACGTACAAAACTAAAAAAAAATTTATTGACAGAACTTCGCTCGCCCTTGAAGTACACTCAAACAAATCCAGTTTCTTAGAGAAATAATAAAATTTGATAAACAGATAAATTTTGATTAATGATTTACCAAGCTTACGATAACATTAAAATGTTTGTAAGATTCCAGAGCATCCGGTTTTACAGTTTTTAGGATAAATTGTAAAATGTATGCAAAATTTCGAGACTCTCTTTTGTAGTTTTCTTAAGTCAATTGTAAAATTCTGTTATACAGTATTAATTTTTTTTTTTTCAAAAACAAGTACATAATAATGTAATGATCAGACAAACTCTGGTTAGCTGTTTAGCACCTAACGATTTTCTAAACATAAACGGACTGGTCCAGTAGTTTCCAAGAGTATCTGTTTAATTAAATCGCCAGCAGACTACAGAAGATAGACAGATGAAAATGTGTGATCTATTTTTTTCATATTCTGGGAACCATAAAAGATCGATGAAACATGAAAATAACCCTTCGTCTATGACTATAATACTTCCCTAGCTTACTATCGGAAAAATAAAAACTGTGAAGTTATCTAAACAGAATGTATGTCAGGATATTTTTTCAGAATATTTATTTCACAATTTTTAAAATGGATTATCAGCTGTGATGTGATGATAAATATATTAATTGACAGGTACAATATAAGAGATAACTGTATTCCTAGAATTTTATGGAAATTAAGTGTTTTTAAGATGGCGTAACAGACAGACACAAATGGACAGCAAAAGCACGAAATTTTCATATTCTAATACATTTGGGTGTTAAAAATGTAAGAAGGAAGAATCGCGTTGTAAACTATTTTCCTATCACGGGTTATTAAACTGAAGCCAATCTTCGGATTTGTTCTCAAATAAATTAAATCGTTTTTATTGATTTTATAATAGTGATACATAAACATAACACACTTTTACTTTTTTTTAGCTACCAAGGAAAAGTTCATTATCATAAAATCTTGTTTTGTGCTACAAGTTTTGTAAATATTATTTATACTTGCGAAGACGCTTTGATTTAATACGATGTACAAAAAAAAATCTGTAATGAATTTTAGTTAATAAAATTGTGTATTTTGTTAGAAATGTATAAGAATTTAGTACTACTGATTATTGAATTCGTGTACAACTGGAACTTAATGTATTTTTGGCACTTACGTAGTGATTTCATTATTGGTACATTGCGATTACGTAGAACTGCCACCACCCACCGAATATTTGGTTCTATGTAATTTCGACATAGCTTAAGACTAAACACGCTCTATGCACAGTTTAATCATCTTATTGCACTTGAGTGATTACACAAATAATCTGATGCCGGAAAATTTTTGTACACATAGATAAAAGCTTTGATAAACTATGCACAAAGAAAGTTTATTACATGGAAGATGAGAAATCTTTATCCGTTAATGTTCTATTGTGTTGTACTCATATTTTATTTACTCGCCACTCTGGCTAGCACCTATAAAATACGGCAGTCCGCTAATTAAATTCTGTAGTGTTTAATCTGATGAAATCTTAATTGGAAATTCGCGAGATTCAATACACGATATGGTTTTGCATTATTATTTTTAAAAGCAACATGCAGTAAAGTTGTTATATTTCCCTCTGCTAAAAAATGATAAAGTTATTGTGAATTTTTTTCACGACCATGTATCTCACTTGAAATACGGAGCACAATACAGTATATTCACTATCATTTTTATCTTGCTGACATTTTCAAAAATTGTTCCTTACATATTTATTAAAAATTATATGTTGGTTTACTTGTACTTTATAAAATCATAAGTATGTCTTTGATTTTTATAACTGCTTGCTGCAGTAGTGTAGTATATCATACATATTAAAATTTGTGTTTATCCTCGTCAAAAATTACTAGATTTAACATTATGCGAAATTCACTAGGCATGGTTGCTGACACGTTCTGTCTAAATAATTGTATTACATCACATAACCAGAATATAATACGGAAGAACTTGTTTTAGACTTGATTTATCTATTAAATAAAATTTTTTGACACAGATAATAAATAGGTTATAAAATTGTTTGCATTCTTTAGGAAGATAACAGCTGGTATACATATTTATTTGCAAAAAAGTGTTTATGAAGACAAATTATACTCTGTTTCCTCATATTTATTGTTCTAGTGTTTAATATATGTATCAGGATTTGGATTATTTAAATATTACATACCACTTATCTACTTGCAGCTACTTATATTATCTAACAATTGTTAAAAATATTTGCTTAAGAAATCCAACTTTTTTAATACGTGCTCTTAATATCATCCTAAACGAAAATAACTATCAATGTATCTTACTTACTAACTTCTAAAACTAGAACACATATTTCTTCAAAGCTACTTTAAATGTGCCGGTAACTGTTGTCGCCAAAATTCTTGCCTAGCATTTAAATAGTTGACAGTTTCCTCAATAGTCTTCATAATACTAGAGTCGTCTTCTTTGAATTTACACTTCAAGTTAGGATTTTTCATTAAATTATCTAGATATTCTTTATCAGGCCCCAACTCCCTCAGCAACCTACTTTTACGTCCCGACTTGCCTCTAGACCCTGGAGTACCCCTCTGACTTGCAGTTTTTCCAGTCACTTCTGTTGACTCTGGACTATTACTACCTTTTGATTTTTCTGTACGATTCGATGTTAACTTTGGATTGAGAAGATTTGAAAACACATTTGGGGACCCTATCGCATTCTCTATAGCTTTCTGAGCTTTGTGTACGCCCAATTTGAAATCTTCGTGGTCTGGTCTAATGTGAAGGCCCCTGTGATAATACATCAAGCTGTGTTCAAAATCACCAAGGTAATAAAGTGCTTCAGCTTTCTGGTAGATGGCTTTGAGGTAACTCTTGTCGATGTTGAGGGCCGTCTCTGCATCCTTCAGTGCATTGTCTGGTTGTCCCAGAAGAATATAACATTTGCTTCTTGCGACGAGAGCGCTTTTCTCGGTCGGATTTAGTTCCAGAGCCTGCAAATATTTACCCAATCAATACGAGATACATGTTACGTTTTGTGCATCATCCTGAAACAGTGCCTGGATGATTAAAAAGAGAAACAAAAATGCAATTAGGATTTGGCGTGCGGAGAAAGTGTTTTGTTTCTCTAAATGATGCAGATTCTATTTACATTTCACGTTGGTGATAAAAAATTTCAGTCTAACTTTGTTTATATTTTGACAGAGTAATTGTGTTTCGTGGTTGTGAATGGCTGATATCTTTGCTTCATTGATGTTTTAATAATTATGTATTTCCTTGTTTTAATAAGAAAATTTTCCTACAAACACTGTTATTTTTAAAATATTTATATTTATATTTTTATTTAGGAAAATGTTCATTCTCAGAAATTTATTACTCCTACGTTTTAAGAAAAAACTGTATAATTTAACAAAATAATATTCACCTTACTTGATTTTTGAAAAGCAGTTACTTATTTAGTACATATTTATTTAAGGTGATGTTTTTTATTTAAAAACTTAATTAAAGATCAAAATATTCCCCGAGTGAATTCTTAAAAAAAAATACGTCGGCCTCCACGAAAAATGACATTTTCAGCGTGTACGATTAACATAAATATTAATTGTTATTTTTATAATTAAAATAAAGAGTTGTTGCACTTAAAAGAGTATATATTGATTTTTAATTTGCTAGAACGGGGAAGGTCAAAGGAAAAATGTAATATGCACCTCGACAAAAAAGCACCTATTATAACCTTGTCTGCTTGCTGGCCTCGTCTACACCTCGGCCATCAAAATGCAAACCCGTCTATAATAGGGACTTTTTCGTACATAAATAACTATTACTGCTGAAACAAATATAATAATTCTTTGACGGAAATTTCGAAATATTAGTCAAATAAAACAAATATTAGCTCTTTTTAAAACTTATTTAGAGACAAATATTAAAATATTCCTAAACGTAGATTGCTTTATTAAAAAAATGCCATTCTAAAACCCAGGCAATAACTGACATATTCCATACTAAATCACAGAACTCCAGTTTTAAGTGAAACAATTACCTTTGCCATATGATCGAAAAAAAAACTCCTCTAGTAGGTTGTGCGATTTATTTTTGAAATAATGATGTTGGCATTGCAACTATTTGACCCTTTATTTGACAGTTATTTGTATTTGACCGTAATTATCAAAGTGAGCAAGGAACATGTTGGTGTTGTCAACAGCCTTACCTTACAAATAAAAATTACAGGGCCTACTATCAGAGTTTTTTTTCGATCATATGGCATTATATGTCATCTTCTGTAAACGTCTTTGTTTATAGTTTTAAGGAAAATTTTGACATATGACACACAATACACATGTTTGCCGTCGATGTCGCTGCACCATAACAAGATTGTCCTAACGGTTGGTCGTGGACTACAACAAAAAAAAAAACGAACAAAAAATTACTCATTTAGGACTACAAGTTACAAATATTTTCAAATAGGTATACAAGTGTTGCAATTAAAGGTGGCACATCAAGGTTGTAATTTTTACATGAAACTCCCTATGAAGATTTAGAGTTGTAATCAACAATTTTCAAAATAAATATTTACAGTTTTTGGAAAAATTCACAATTCCATAATTTTTAAGGGTGGAAATTTAGAATTTTGCATATAACTGTTTAGTAACATACATAGAAAATATAGAGCAAAATACAAATTTCTTCAAATAGAGCGATTAAATTTGCAATTTGTAAAAGTGTCAAATTGTTTTTTTTTTTTTATTTTAAGCGAAACACTATTTTTTTTATATAAAATTTGTTGGGGTTTATTGTAATAGTTTAAAATTTGACAACAATGGATCTAGCAGTTTCGGCGATTATTATCTGTTTAATAAAAAATGATACAGATAGACGACAGACGACAGACAGACGGAAACGGAAGACCTACTTTTTTGTACTCTAATGGTCATAAAACGTCGAGAAAACATGAAAGCAGCAGTTCGTCAAACGAGCCCTAGTGGAAGTTTTTACTTCCTTAGCTTATGGTCGGAAAGTAAAAAATGAACATTTACGAATTAAATAAAAAAAGGTTAAAACAATCTCCAACTTTTACACGTTCATGAAAACAAGGTAAGTAAAAATTTGGTGTAAAATCCCAAATTTTAATTTGTAAATAGGATAGGATTGAGAATTTTTAAACACTACTGTTTTTACATAAAAATATAAATATGTACATTGAAAAATATTCACATAATGACTCTGTTAAAAAAGATGTTTAAATAATGCAAGTATCGATGTGTACCTTCGAAGCAACACATCCTGTGAATTTAAAAATAAGTCCTAAATGGGATACTCTTCACAATTTATGAAATATGACTCCACAATTTTAATAACGGATTTTTGGAAAATATTAAATCTTGATTACAACATCGTAACATATTAGTATTTTTATTATTTTACTCTCTGAAAAATAAAAAAAGCAAAACTTTTCAGTAATAAAATTTAAGTTCCAAAATTCACATTCGTAACTTAATTTGTCTGATGAAGACACTGTTTACCGAAACAAGTGTAGTAATGTTCTATAACTGAAAAATTTTGGAACTTAAATTGTATTTATTTTTGTATACAAAATTCATGGTGGCTTTGCAACAAATAAAGGCGTCATGACTTCAAATAAAGAGATTCATGCCATAACATTATTGATCATATCGTAGAATCAGTTGTTATTAAAATAAAACAATAAGTAAAATTACGGAACTTTGTAAAATATATAGAGGGGTCCACATTAAAAATATATAAATTTAATGTACATTTGTAAACGTCTACGTACAATATTAAATTGTGCATATAAAAGAGTTCTGTTATGATGTGTAGAGATTTTTTTTCATAGTAAACTCCACAAACAGAAGATTTTTTCACCATGTACTTATAATTTGTTTCCCTTTACTGTTCAACTTCAGTATTCGTCGAAAAGTGAATATTAATTTGAGAATTTGATTATAACTTATGATATATAATATCGGGTGATTTTTAAAATGTCTGCTCTAGTTGGCCATGAGCTTATGTCAGACGTTTCAGTTGTATTATTGTGTACTCGTAATAGACAATTGGAGCAGAAATTTAAAAAATCACACTGTATGAGATGACAAAAGCTAAAATTTCGATGTACCAATCAATTATAGTCAATCTGCACAATACACTCGTTTGTATTTAGAAGTATGGAATCCCAAAACTAATTCCTGGTAACAAATTTGGGAAAAAATCAACACATCTCGCAGTTTGTGCTAATATTTTTCTCAAATTTCCGTATTATCAGTGTGCATAAAGTATTGTGTAAACTGTACCTCTTAATAATATTACAAATTTTTTACAAACTATTATCAACATAGCAACGAAGACCTTAGTAATAAAATTAATAGCGATCTGAAGATCTCCTCTACCCATTTCATAGTTCCCCAGCGCCAAAAAAGTTCCTGGTTCAGCCTCCTCCGGAATCTGCAAAGCTTTCGATCGATCCTGCTTTCTTTTTAGCTTCAAAGACTGTTTGATGTCTTTGGAGCCCATATTGACAGCAGCAGCTCTGTCTTTATCACAATAAAGCTCTTCGCGTTTAGCACCACTACGCTTTTTTCTTTTCTTTTTCTTCGTCACTTCTTCCTTTACTTGTTGTGCGGAAGGTGGATGTTCACCTGATTTCTTTCGGTCGTCGTCGCCATCTTTAATTTCTTTTTCATCTACTACTGGTGTCTCCTCGACTTTTACCTCTTTAGGAATTTCTGGCTGTTTGGTTGGAGGTTTATCATCATCCACATTTACGCCAACAAAGCTTTGTAATAATTCTGTTTCGTAAGTGGTGTCAAGTTTTGAGTGGAACAGTACAATGGGCGACTGACTAACCTCTTCAGCCATATTTGCTAATTACTAAAAGTGAATCTTTGTAACTCCAATGGAAAGATTTTTGTGAAATCGGTTACCTCAAAAAGCTGTGATGATTTTTCTTCGGTATTTTAAAAAGAATTGTGTAGGAATGTTTAAAAATTAGCAACAATAATCAGATTTCAGGCCGTGAAAACTAACACTCTCGGCGTCGGTTTCTATGGATACTAAGGTGTGATCAATTTTAACCATGGCACCCAATATTACACTTTAGTCGGCACCTCCCTCTTTTAGGTAGGGTGTTCTTATACTAATTTGAACTTATTCATTTAACTATAGTTAGGGGACGTTGATATAAGTCAGATCTAAACTTTATCCTTGATGTGTAATTTAATTAACTAAAATGAGTCGAAACTTTTCTCGTTTTTAGAGCCTATTTTTTGCACCACATCCATTCACTGAATGGAATAATAATATTAAAAATTACCACCCTTATCTGTTCCCTCTGTTTCAATTTGTTAAAATTTGATTAAAGTTAGTTTCACCGTTGAGTTTTGATTGAAAATTGTACGAAGTTGCTTAGTTAATCAAGAAACTTCAGTTTCCCTGAGTTGCATGTAATCCACGTCTAAATTTAAGCCCTTCGAGAAACGAGATATCGTTTTGCTCTACTCGATACATTATTTGCTCGACGTATTTACACAGTTGCTGGAATTCTGAATTGCAAGCTAATTTATCGATTCAGAAATAATTCAGATTAAGTACTGAGCGAAAACAGCTAAAAGCACTCTAAATTTCAACTCTCTTGTTAAATAAATATTTCATTACCTGTATCATACACGATTGCATAAATACATTTGAATATTTAAAATCGATCATCAAGCATCGGTTAAGTAAATGGTTCTTAAATTTTACCATTTTAGGTTCTTTTGGCAAAGTATAACACTAAATAATAAATGTGGAGATAAAATCACGACCATTTCCATTAAATTTTCCATTTCTTGAGGACTACCTGCATAATTCAGTGTTTCTGATACGTGCAGAGTGAATACGATCTACACTGTTTTCAGGGTAACTAGTTCAAATAGAGTTATAAATAGTTAATTAACTCCACAATCAATTATACATGTATTATGTATGGTAGGCTTCATCAAAGGCGTACCTAGAAGGAATGATATTCTAGTGAAACTGCATTGTTTTGAAAATTTCACTATAGCTAAATCAATTCCTAAACTAACTATTTTATATAAAAAGTTGTCATTAAACAAACTTTCTCAAGCAACCTTTGTAGTGCCAGATAACAGAATAAATTTTCAAGTTCAAATCTTACGAAATTTAATTTTTCATAGCAAACCAACAGGTTTTCTTTCTTCCCAATCGTAAGATATGGAATTTTTTTAAACAAAGTCGCGAACGTTCAAAAAATGTTCAAAATTATTAATTATTAAACTTATCTAATGAATTCACTAGTTTATTTTATTGATTAAATCAATCAAAAGCAGTTTATCTTATTTTCATCAAATTCCAAATATGGTGCTGTTGCTGGTAATATTATATTATAACGTTTATAACGTCATCATAAAAAATTTAATTTTTTAAAAAATAAGACTTCTTTGTGTGGCAGTTCTGTCTAAACATTATGAAACCAATTTTTCAGTTGGGTAAAAGTCTTATTTCCGTTTTTTGCCTACAAAGTGAGTTTGCAGGAAGTTTAGTATTTTATTGGTATGAAGTTTCATAAATGGAAAAGAAGATATTTTTCATGTATGCTGGTTGAAATTGGCGTTTCGGCCCCATTTATTTTTTTATATAATGTTAGAAATGTTAAAATGATTTTAAGCGTTTAAAAATACTTGCTTTCCTTTTATGTCATTTTATACATACAACTTAACTTATTTGTAAATTACTTAGTTCGTCCACCTCTTACTCTTATTTTTTATTCCCAGGAATTGTAACAGGGTCCCTTTATAGATTATCTAATTTAACGTTTTGTTCACTTTTCGCAGCCCATAATACACGAAACTGTAGATTTTTCGTTTTTGGATTTCTATCGTTGCTTAATAAAAATTTAAAGGTTGAATGTCCCAAACTGTTGAATCAGTATTTAAGATTTTAGTATTATGAAGATGACTAACAAAAATAAAAAAACATGGTGATGTCATAAGTCAATCTTACTTGAAATTCTCCGCTTGACCTGATACTTTGTATGCTGGTTAGTAATCCGCATATACTGTTATTTTACGGGTACGAGTTCTTCTAAAAAAGGCAAGATTTTATAATGAAATTTTACAGGACATTGATATTTACTCAGCAAGTACAAAATGTTAACAAACATGTATTTGTACATAATCTCTTATAATTTATCTAATAATCAATGCATTATAAATATTTTTCCTATTGGTTCAAAAGTATTCCTAATAAAATAAATCACAAATATTGTCTGGTGGACAGGTGTATATATTTATTTTTACTTCCCGACTGTAAGCTAAGGAAGTATTGTCTGTCGTATGACTAGGTACTTTTTTGTTTTCTCGAAGTTTCATGACCGGTAGAGAATGAAAAAATGGATTTCCGTTTTCGTCTATCTGTCATCTGTCTGCCGTCTGTCTGTCGTCTGTGTCAATATTTAATAAGCAGATAATCTCCGAAACTACTGGACTAATCGTTGTCAAACGCCAATTAAAATTTGTTTGATCCTCCCACCAACAATTTGATCACCTTAAAATTTTGCATGGAAAATGCTACTTAAATTTTATAAAACAATACACTCATGGACAAAACAATTGAATATTTTATTAAAATTAATTTAAAAAATAAATATACTGTAGGACCAGCTTATACAATATTTTAACTGAGATTAAGTTAATCAGGCATTTATCGATGCGTTTAGCAACGTCTGATTGGTGTAGAGTCTGTCCCGTGGTACTTTAACGCCGCGTTAAAAATTTAATCGCAATCAAATATTTAATTGAGGTCTTATAATATTTAAAAAGAGAGATCAATCAGAGCATGTAAAAACAATGTGTATTGGAGATAATTACTAAATTAAGTACAACTCCAATTGTTGATTTTTGCGAATGGTGTGAGACAAGTACTATGCACTCTGTCCACTCTAGTGTAGACGGTTCATGGACTGTTCCAGCTGGATTAAGTCTAGATTTTCTCTACGACTGTCCCAGCTATAGCAAATTAAGCCACATTGTTAGAGAAGTCTAGCTAGACTGGCACAATTCTAGCTAGATTTACAATGTAGGTACTCTGCCTACATTGCTGCTGAAGTACTCTCTCACGTCTAGCTAGTGATAATGTCGTTCTATAAATTCATGTCTTTTGGACTCTCACAAACGTAAAGGTTGATTTAAAAAATTTATGAAGATTTCAAAATATTCCACCTTTTTGACCATAAGTGTATGCTGTTGTACTTGTTGTTTATGAATCTATTTTGATTCTTAATTCCCGAGCGTAAGCTAAGGAAGGGTTGTAATCGAGTCCCTTGGGCGACTGGTTACTTTCATATTTGCTCGATGTATCATGTCATGACCCCTAGAGTACACCAACATAGGTCTTCTCTTCCCGTCTGTCTGTCCGTCTGCCGTCTGTATCGATTTTTGTTAAACAGATAATTTCTGAAACTACTGGACTGATTGTTGTCAAATTTTATATGTGTATTATGAATATCAATGTAGATGGTAAAACACTAACCAAACTTTGTATGATCATCCCCATAAACAATGTGATAGACGACAATACCTCGTCATCTCAAAATTGTACATAGTAAGTGGATCTTAAATTGTATAAAATAACTTAGTCCTACATGTGTAGTTTATGATTCTGTGTTGAGGTTTTACCCGAGGCATCCAGATTAAAAAAAAAAAATAAACTTTTTGCAATTTAATTTTGAATCTGCAAAACCGAATGCTTTGAAATCTTGTAGACGTTTTAAAGTTATCGTAAGCATAGTAAAATTACACTGCATCTATCCAAATTGATATACGTGCAAAAATATTGATAACGTCATCACAAAATTTTTTATAGAAAAAATTCATTTGCAGCATATGCTTAGCACGCCTCTTCACATTTATTTTAACATTAAGTACACATCTTTATGTTAATGTATAGGGATTAATAATAATAATAGTCATGATTCTCTTAAATAAAATTGATAAAATCAAATTTTATAATTTATCGAACACGCGGGATTTTTATTGCACTTCAAGAGCGAGGAAAGTTCTGTCGAATAACCCAATTTTTTACCCATGGCATCCAAATTTGCAAAACAAAAATCAAAATTGTATAATAATGATAATAGTAATCCTTATTTGTCCAACAAACATTTTTCATGCAGCTTAGAAACTGCTAAACCCAATGTTCTCAACCTTTCCAAACGTTTTAAGTTTATTCTAAGCTTAGTAAATCATTAATCAAAATTTATATTTTTTTCTCTTCCCCAAAAGCTTGATAACGCTAAAATGTACAAAATATTATATGTTGACCCGTGTGCACTCATCCTTTTTAGTATGTACTTAGGTGTTATAATAAAAATAAATAAAATTTCGCAAAATCTAATTTTATAATTAGTTGGATTTGCTGAACTGATAACCTTAGGCCATTTTTTTTTAATGCCGATGTTAAATTTCAGCTGCAAAAAAGTTGCTCTAAACTTATTTAAACAAAACTTCCCTCGAATCTGTAGTTAAGCATTTAAACAGGGGCGCCCCCACCAAAATTACAACGTCTATAAACACACTGGAAATAGCAAAATAGTAATTTTCAATATTTACAAAAATTATGCGGAAGTTTGTGTTGTAATTATCAAAACAATTTTTTTATTTCGCTCCTTTTGTATCAAATGTATCTAAAAATATTGTTAGTAAGGTCTCGATAAAAACGAATACCCAATCGTGACTCATTTAGACTTTTTGTTTACACCGTTGCCACGGAAACCGCGCCTCTAGTCTCTGTATTTGGCTGGAATTGGGTCACATTTGAAACAGTTACCGCTAGTAGTAATTCAACTACAGGAGTTGATTTTTATTCTGCGCGAGTGAAATTGACTTATTTTAGGACAAAATTTGGGACAAGGGAGTGTTTTACAAAAGTAAATAAAATAATATCAAGAGTAATAAATATTGAATTTGCAGAGTTTTTTTTCTCAATTTGATAGAAAAATAAAAATTCAGATATTTTTTTTGTGACAATATT